CTAGCTGTGTGGCTTTGGGCATGTAACTTCACATCTCTGAGTCTCAGTATCCTCATCTATGTAATGGGTGAAAAAACTATTTTGAGGTGGGAATAGCTCTGGTGGGTTACCCACGGGAGGTGTTGCCTGGGATAAAGCATAGAGGACAGGAAGTGCGTTGCGTCTTGATCTGGGGGTGCCTGCACAAGTGCACATGCACAGAAAGGTGCATTGGGCTGTGTGTGCTCTTAAGATTAGGGCATTTTATTTCATGTAAGTTATAACTCAATACAAAAGTAAATAAACAGAAAAGATGCCCTTCCTTCTCGACTCTATCCTGCAGGGTGGCTGCGAGGACTAACAGGGAGTGGGAATGCAATGCATTTTGCAACAGGGCCGCCGGGTGCTGTCCTGTTCTCTCATCCCCTATTTGCACCCTGGATGGATGTGTAAGACATAATCTCAAGGAAAGTAGTTGCTCTAAGTCTTTCTGGGGAGCAAGACTGGAGTACGATTTAAAAAATCAACCAGGAAGACTTCTCTGACTTAGGAAAATTGAGGCACAAACTCAAATGAGAAATGAGACGTCCTGGTTTTAGGCAGGAGAGGTATCATCATCCCCAATTTGGACTTAGCTGAGGAACAGAGGGTGGCCAGTATGTAGGAGGCTCAGGAAGGACAAGCACCCAGGCTGCCTGACTCCCAGTCCAGTGCTCTTCCCAGCACTGGAGTCGCCCAGGTGGCTGGGATGTCAGCCTGGCTCCCCCTCGCCCCCCTGTGGCCAGCCTGGGAACACGCCGCGGCAGTGCTGCCGGGACCATCTGCGCAAAGACCGGCTAGGAGGAGGCTACTCCTCCTCTCTGGAACACTGCATTGGTGACAACTGAGCAATGAGTCATCGCAATCGATGAATGAGCTGGGGAACAAGCCCCGCCTCCTGGAGGAATCTCTCATCGACTCCCCTGCCTTGCTGCCGCACATTCTTTGCAAACTTGCTTGCCTGGCCCCTGGGTTTATAGAGGAACGGAGGTGGAGGAGTTGCCCCCCAGGTTCCCTGGCTGATCTCTTGACAGAGCCAGCTCCATGCCCAGGCCCTGAGCCCCTACATTTGCTATGTCCCAGCGAGAGTTCCATTCATTGCCCTAATGCTTCCCCCACCTTCCCTTAAGCACCTGGTCCTGAGACCTCTTTCTCTCCCAGGCAGCCCTTTCTGCCTGCTCCCCGACACATACTCTCTGACTCAACCTCATCGTCTCCTGGGCCAAACCCTTCCTGGATGAGGGGAGAGCTCGTCAGCAGATCATTTATTACGGACACCCAGCAACCTGTTGTCCCACCCGGCTGGTTTTTCCTTCCTAATAAATCCCTCTTTGTAGCCAGTCTAAAACAAAGAAATTTTGGCGTGAGTCTCTGGATCTATTTATTCACTCTTCCATTTACTCATTCAATAAGCATTTATTGAGCGCCATCTGTATGCTAGGTATTATGCTAGATACTGGAACATACAGATACAAAGCATTGATACAGTCCCTAATTTGGCACTTGAAAACATCCCTTTTTATTCTTTTCCCTTTCCTTCATGATCTCTGTTTCTGAGTTTTTCTGCTTTCTAGCTATGTGACCTTGAGCAGAAAACAAACAAGGAAAAAAAAACAAAACAGCCTTGTTATAGATGCCAAGTGCTATGCTAGGTGATTTACATCTGGTATTTAATTCTCCTGACAACACCGTATTATTATCCCCATTTTTCTAGGCAAGGAAAGGGAGGTTCAAAGAACTTAATTAAATTTGTCTGAGACCACAGAGCTAGTAGCTAGCAGAGCCATGGTTTGAATCCAGGTTACTCACCTCCCAAAACCTCTGTTTCCTCATCTATCAAATAGAATCTGGGCCTTACCTATACATCATATACATGCTAGGCACAGGACACAGCCAAGCAGGGGTTTTTTTATTCTTTTTTTTCTTTCTTTGAGACACAGTCTCTGTCACCTGGGCTAGAGTGCCATGGCATCAGCCTAGCTCACAGCAACCTCAAACTCCTGGGCTCAAGCAATCCTCCTGCCTCAGCCTCCCGAGTAGCTGGGACTACAGGCATGCACCACCATGCCTGGCTAAGTTTCCTATATATTTTTAGTTGCCCAACTAATTTCTTTCTATTTTTAGTAGAGACCGGGGTCTCGGTCTTGCTCAGGCTGGTCTTGAACTCCTGAGTTCAAACGATCCACCTGCCTCAGCCTCCCAGAGTGCAGCCAAGCAGGTTTTAAGAAACCTTTCTGCTTTTCCCTGCACCTAGGTTCATGGTGCAGACCTTGGCTGTGCCTCAGCTGTGCCAGGAGTGTCGTGAAGACCAAGGCTGTTGTTGGGGGCTTATGGGGTCTGTCCGGGGGGTCCTGAGGCTGCCCTCTTCTCCCACAGACATGTTCGCAAGTTGTGTGCGGAGTTGTAGTAATCTCCTCCCAGCAGGGCACAGCCCAGCGGGAGGAGGTGGAAAATGGTATGTTGTTACTTACTTTAAAAGTCAAGTATGTGTCTCAAAATTATGTTAATGGATTCATCAAAAGACAGGTACAAGGATGCTCACAGCAGCTTCCTTAAAAATAGCCAACGACTGGAAACTGCACAAATGTCCACCAAGAAGTTGAATAAATCATTTGTGATACACATACATATATATTTATATATATATGCGATGAAATACTACTCAGTAATGAAAAAGAATTCCTATAATCACAAGTGACAACGTGGATGGATCTCATGGACACAATGTTGAGCGAAAGAAACCAGGCACCACGAAATCATATACTGTAGGATTTCATTTGTATGAAGTTCAAGGAGAAGCGACGTTAATTTATCAGTAGAAATCATAACTGTGGCTGCCTTTGCAGGTGTTGACTGGGAGGGGGCCTATACATTTTGAAGTACTGGAAATGTTCTATGTCTGATCAAGGGTGTGTTTACATGCGTGTGTACTTTATGTAAAAATTAATTGAGCTGTACCATTAAGGCATGTGCATTTTATATATATCTCAAAAAAAAAATAACAGTAACGTCTCCCAGGATGTTACCCGGGCCTTGCTGCTCCCCCTCCCCCTGAGCACACCCTCCGTTCTGGCCAGTGATGCAGAAAGCAGGGAAAGCTGTGCCTTAGGGAGGGGCAGGGAGTGCCCTGGCAGGTGCGGCGAGCAGGGGTCTCTCAGAGAGGGCAGGGGGCACTCGCTAGCACCAGACTCCTGCCCACTTCTCCAGGAGCAGGTGAGCCCCCCTTTCCTTAGCTATCCCCTAAATCTCCCAGGAGGAGTGCTGCCTTTGGTGTGGGGCTGTGCCCTGTGGTTGTTCTTCCTAGCCATGCTGAGCACATGGCACCCCCCACCCCCCCACGCAAAGAACGATCTGCCGATCTGATCTGCTATCTCCTTTAAGAAGAGGCGGTGTTCAAAGCCCTTGCAGGTGCTTTACTTCATTCACACCTCCAGGGGTTTTGTGTTTTATTGCTGAGGAAGCAAGCCCTGAGGAGTGAGGGCTCGTGAAAGGTCTCCTGGTAAGTTAGTGGGGAGCTGGGGTTGGAGCCAGCGCCCTCTCTCCTGGACTCCCTGGGCTGGAGTAGGGTGCCGGCTTGGGGAGGGCTTCTCCTTAACCCGGTGACCAAAGCCGTGGCGAGTTACCTGCGTGTGGGGAGGAGGGCGTGCGTGGGCGGTGGCTGGCTATGGGGGTGCATGGGGTCCTTTGCAAGCTCCGACTTTCCCTCCCCCCACCCCAAGAGAGAAGAGAGCTGGAAGCTTTCCTTTTTTTCTATACCCATGATGCCCCTTCCTCAGCCTTCTCCCACGCCCAGGCCTACGTTGGCGACCCTAGGAAGTGCTGAACCCTTTCAGTACAATTTTCTATATTTGTTTTGCTGTAAGACATTTCCTGTGTTTAATGGCTGGTTCGGAGTGCAGAGTGCAAGCTAAGGCAGGGAGACCTGGTGGGAGAGGCAGCAATGCACAGAGAAGAGGGAGCGGGGGGCTGGGCTGGTCACACTTCGATGTGGGACTCTCTAGAACCATGTTCATTAGTCCCAGTTCAAGGGAAATAACATGTCCCTTCTCTGCTGGGAAGTTCTCTCTGCTGTCTTACTTCCATCCCTCCTATTAGAATTTTTTCCCAGCCTTTGGCCTGGCCTGGGTGGAAGTGGAGAGACAGCAGGAGGTCAGTGGAGCAGCAGCCAGAGACACTGGCTCTGAGCCCGGCCTCCCGCCTCTCTTCTGAGCTCCTGAGGAATCTCCCCCAGACCCTTCTCCTTAGGAAAGACCCACCTGCTTGCTCTCTGCACCAACCCTGCGCATCCCAGGAGGAGCGGGCGGCAGTGGCAAGCTGCTCCAGCCAACCCTCAATTCCATACTCCGCGGCTTTCAGGCTACCATTCCATTATCAAGTATTTCTCACTTAGTGTTAATCATGCATTTTTTAACTGAAGAGGTTAATGTGCGTTCATATGCACATTACCCAAAAGCCACAAACTCCCTCCAATCCTGTCCCTGCCCACCCAGTTCTCAGAGACTATAACTTCCATCAGTTTTTGAGTCTGCTCCTGAAGACAGTGTGTCTAGACCTGTTTCCCTCTGTCTTACACAGACACACGCTGTCCTGAACTCTTGACAGCGTGTCTTGGTGGCGGCTCCACATCAGTACATGTCAAGCTTTCCTGAATTCTGTGCAGCCATATACACAAAGCACCTACTAAGTGCCAGGCACTGTGCTCACTGGGCAGGGGGGTTATAACACCACACAAACTGAAGTTCCTGCCTCCTGGAGTTTGCAGTCAGGGGAGACAAAGATAAGAACAGAGGCAAGTAAATTTGTCTTTAATAATTTTTTTTTTTTTTTTTGAGGCAGGGTCTTGCTCTGTCACCTAGGCTGGAGTGCAGTGGTGTCACTGTAGCTCACTGACCTCAAACTCCTGGGCTCAAGTGATCCTCCTGCCTCAGCCTCCTGAGTAGCTGGGACTACAGGTGCTCACCATGATGCCTGGCTAAGTTTTTACTTTTATTTTTACAGAGACGGGGGTCTCACTATGTGGCTGGCCTGGAGCTCCTGGTCTCAAGCGATTCTCTGACCTCGGCTTCCGTTAGTAAGGTTTATAATGGGAGAATAGGATGTCAGCGGGGTGTTGGGAAGGGCTCCGGAGGAAGCCACAGAGACAGTGAGACAGTGGGGGTCAGTCAGTTGGGGACACGGTGGGAGGGAGGAGAGATTTAAGTCAGAGAACAGCTGCATAAGCGGCAGACACAGAGAGGGGTGTTGGGGGCTGACGGGGCGGTCCTTGTCAGCGAGGAAGGAGTGAAGGACTGGAGACTTGAGCTGTGCAGTGGGGAACATCCAAGAGACTCAAGCGTGACTGACACCATCCGGCTCGTGTTCTGGAAGGATCCTGGCGGCTGCTGTGTGGGAGGAAGATGGATGGGCTTGGGGCCACGGGAGCAGCAGGGAGCCAGCCGGGCTCCACCCACAGGCCCTGCCCCCCAACAGGCCCCCACCCCCACATGCGCTCATTCCCTCACCCCCAAATGAAGGGGGGTGGATGGATGAGCACCCGCCCACCCAAGGCTCCAGCCTCGGGCTGAGGAAACTGACTCCTGGGTTCTCATCTTCCCCACCCCTCCTGACATCCTACCTGGATGCTTTCATGCAGACTGCTGCCCTCCCTGCCACCAGCTCTGCAGGTACTTCGTGCTTGGCACTTGGTAACACTCAGCTCCTTCTCCTCCTCCCTCCTCCAGACTTGCAAACAGACAGGCTCCTGTTCTCCAGGAAACCGCCGGCTCCCTCCTGGGGGCTATCGGCCACTTCTTGGGGTCCCTGTTCTCTCCAGGTTTCTCTGGCTCCCCGACTAATGCAGGGTCCAAGGACATCCAACTGGGTACCTGCGCATCAGACAGGAAGTGGTGTCTGTCCCAGTAGACAGGAACTGCTTTCCTAGACCGGAGCTCGCCCTTCCTCTCCCTCCAGAGTCCCCAGCCTCCACTGGGCCACGCTGGCCCTTTCCCAAAGCCCCCGGGACGTCTCACCTGTGCTGTTATTCTCTCCCCTTCAGACCCACTTGCCTCCTGTCCTTCTCCACTTTGCCGTGTGCCCCGGGGGCGGGGGGGGGGCTGCCCTCTCCCGTCATGCGTCTGGGCTCTCTTGCTCTCTGGTTCCTAGCTGGGTTCAGCCAAGGGGAGGCGCTGGCCAAAGAGCAGGGGCAGGAGGGGAGAAAGGCTGGGGTGCTCACCCCTCCCACCCCTCCTGCCAGGCTGCAGTTGGGCAGCGGCCACTTCTCTCTACCAAGGCCGTGGGCTGCAGCGCCCGGGGCTGGTGCCAGCCCAGCAGCTGCAGCTCTTGCTAGAATCTGGTGACTTCCTCCTTGTCCTGGGACAGTAACTGGCCCCGGGTGCTGTCACTATTTCCTTCAAGCTGGCCACACCCCTGTAATAGTGTCTTTATTATACCCCCTCCATTAAACCTGACTGATACACTATTAGCTCCCTGACCAGTCCCTCTTGCTGGGGTGAGAGTCCGGGACTCTCCCTCGGTCACTGGTGATCTCTCCCTTTGACCTTGGACAAGTTGCCCATGCTCTCGGTTCTCTGGCGGGAAAATGGGAACGACTGGTTGTGAGGGTTCGGTGCGTGCTTGTGGGTCCTGTGCCTGGCACAGTGCCGGGCAGACTGCAGAGTCTGGACAGTGTTAGGCTCCTTCCTGTTGGGGAGTGGCTTCCTCCCGACACCTGCCTGCAGCAGCCTGGGGGGCAGCAGCCCCTCTGAGAGGGGCCTGGAGGGACCAAGGAGTGTTCCTGCAGACAAGTCCTGTTCCAAACCTTACCTGTGACTCCATTAACCACAAGTGCCTCTCAAGGCTTCATTTGCCTTTTAAATGAAGAGCGGGGTGGCGGTGTGGGGGGTCTGCTCATTACAGGAAGACCAGAAGAGGCTGCTCGCCCTGCCCAGGCCCACACAGCCGTCCACATCAGCACAGCCTGGCCAGGCGCGGCTCTCACTCCATTAGCTTTCAGCAAGAAAAAGAACGATTTCTTAAGTCAAGAATAATTATTTCAACCAGCTTTCCTCCTCAGCTCGCTCCTGTGCTGCCCGGGCTGTGTGTGCTGGCTGACAAATTAATTTCTATTATTTATATTAGGCTGGAGAGGAAGCACAAGCCAGGGACTGGGGACCAGGGACCCTGGGAGAAGAAACGGGAGATGGAGATGGAGAGACAGGGACAGGGAGGTGGAGGGAGCAGGCACAGGAAGGGGCAGAGAGAGAGGAGACAGAAGGAAGGATATTGGGTGGTTGGAGGAGGATGCAGGAGCCAGAAGGAGGGCAGGCTGGGGGGCTGCGGGCTTGGGAGGGCTGGGCTGGGCCCTGGGGGTGTGGGCATCAGCTCTGCTCCCTGCTCCCGTGGGGGAGGCTGGCTCCGGGCACCCGAGCCGGCATCCGTCCGCCGGTCTGTGAAGCTCTGCCAGTGAGCTGGCCTGGGGGCCGGCCCTCCCCATCTGGGACATGCCCTAGCATTTCATTGAACACTCCTGGCAAATGCTCTTCACAGCCCATCAAAATGCACAGAAATGTCTCTGTGTCCCCCAGCCTGCTAGGCTGGTGCCAGCCCCAGGCCTCCTCCCCAGGAGGCCTAAGGAGGTCTCACTGAACTTACCCCAACCAACTCAAGACCACAGGAGGCTGGGAGGAAATGTGCCCCCACGCACCCCTTGCTGGCCTCTCCCTCCTCCCTGCTCTTCTTTCTTCTCCCTTTCCATCTCTCTCTTCCTCCCTCCCACCTCCTGCGAGGGAGGAGGACATGGCTTGGTGGGCACCTTCACTGGGGTAGGGATGGGGGCGCAGCATGTAGAGCTATCAGCAGGGTGTGGGGCTGGGGATGAAGCACACACCCCTCCTCCCCCGCAAAGACTCAGGACCTCTCCCTCCCAAGGGAGAGTGGGCAGGGTCTGCCTCTCTGTCCCCACTTCCTGCTGGGATGCAAAGTCACAGTTAACTTGGCTACCCCAATCTTGGCCCTCCATCTTTTAAAATGATATATGTGACCATTTATTTAATTACTTTCTTTTCTCCTAAGGAAAATTATCAGGGTACAGCTTGAAGAGTGTTATATAGGTATACACATACCCCATAACCACTAACCACTTAGATCAGGAAGAAACACTTCCAGCACCAGCAGAAGCCCCCTTCATGCCACATTCAGCCTATGCCCACCCTATCCCCTACTGCCTTGAGATAACTATCATTCTGACCTCTATCCCCACAGATTTGTTTTGTGTTGAGACAAGGTGTCGCTGGTTGCCCAGGCTACTGTGCGGTGGCATCATGATGGCTCACTGCGCCTCAAACTCTTGGGCTTAAGCGATCTTCTGCCTCAGCCTTCCAAGTAGCTAAGATTATAGGCATGTGCTACCATGCCTGGCTAATTTTTCTATTTTTTATAGACATGGGGGTCTTGCCATGTTGCCCGTCTGGTCTCAAACTCCCGACCTCAAGTGACCTTCCCGCCTCAGCCTCCCAAAGGATTACAGACGTGAGCCATTGCACCCAGCCCCTACAGATTGGTTTTGTTCATTAGCGAACATCATATAAACAGAATCACACATTATATATCCTTTTGTGTCTAGCTTCTTTTGCTCAACGTTACATCTGTTTGTTGTCCATGTTGTTATTTGTAGCAGTAACTCATTAGTTTTCATTGCTATAGACTACTGCATTGTATGAATATGCCACAATTCATTCAATCATTCTGTTGATAGGTAGCTGGGTTGTTTTCAGTTTTTGGCTATTATGAATGAAGCTTCATGAACATTCTTATACCTGTTGTGCTCTGCACATTAAGAGCATTATGACCTTGGACTGGGTATCTAACTTCTCTGAGCCCAAACTTCCTCATCTCTAAAATGGGAGGGAGGGAAGAAATTAACTATCATGTAATCATGAGGATTAGTGACATAATACATGCAAAGTGTTCAACACAGTGCTTGGCACACAGTAGGTGCTTCATAAAATGTCATTCCTCCAGCCCATAATCTGTGGTGAGCTGGGAAAGCAGGTTGCTGTATATCATTTCTACCCTGGGACCCTGAGGTTGGAAAGACACAACCACTAGCACAACACAATAATAACAAGGGTCTGATGACCATTCATTGGGCACTCACACAGCTGGTGCTGTGCCACAGAATCTTGTCATCATTTCTCCCATCTGTGAATCACCCGCCCCTGTGGCAGTCACCAGCGTCTGTGGCTGCTCCCTAAGACCCAATTCTCTGTGGCCTTTCACGCTTCCTAGAGCATCAGGTCTGATTCTCATTTTACAGATGGGGAAACTGAGTCCCAGAGTGATTTAAAAGATTTGCCCCAAATCACTCATCCATTGTGACGGGTCACTTACTGAGAGTAAAACATGTGTCTTTCACCTCTGCCTTCTGACCCAGCAAAGGGTCTGGCTCAGGGTGGGTGCTCCTGGTTGTGGAATAGATGAAACCTGCATCTATTGTGCTCAATCCTTCTGTGCTCTCTTTTGTGCTCAATCCTTCCTCCTGGGCAGCCCTTGCCAGAAAGTATGGCTGCTGCCAGCTACCCCACTCTGCACGTGATTTTTCACCTAGAGAGGCCTCCTTGGCCTTAAACTGCTGTGACAAGCAACAGGGAGGTTTACAGCCAGTCCTGAAAGTGAAGCGGGTCTGGCCCAGTGTACTGTAGTGCCCCAGCATGGGAGGAAACTCCCAGGGGTCATTACATTTGGCCTCTGGCCTGGGGTCAGTCCTAATAGGGTCTGTGCCCTGCCTGTCCTCCCAAACCCTTGGAGAAGGGGGTGCCTTTCCTAAGGCTAGGGAAGGAAGTGGAGGACACCTGAGGCTGGGAGGCTGGACGGCTGCCTGCAGGTTAGCTTGCCCCACTGCCTGGTGGTGGCCTTGGGAGAGTCACCTGTCCTCTCTGGGCCTTGTTTTCCTTGTCTATGACAAGTCCTTTCCTGCTGAAATGAGTGCTTTGGAAGGGAGGCAGGGGCGGTTTCACTCTGTTTCAGAGAATTTGGTGCGTGGGTGGGCACGGGGCAGCAGTGCAGGCTGGTAGCTCCGCTCAGGCCCTGGGGCCTAAGAGGCTGTGCGCTCTCCCTCCTCCCACAGCCGTTCGGAGGAGGGGCCACTAATTGCGAGGTGGAGGGCTGCTAATGAGCCCCCTAGGGACCTCAGAGACAGCTCTGATGGCACTGAAGGGCTTCCCTGAGTTTCCTTAAAAGCCCTGATGGCAGAGAAGCCTCCATTAGCAGGAGGATTAATCACCAGGCAGATCTCAGCCACTCCCTTCCAAAGCTGCCCCGCTGCACTCCAATCAGAGAGGATGGGGTTTGGGGCTTAGGGATGCCCACACCCATGACCTGCCCTGTCTGGTCCCAGGTGAGAGAGCAGGGCCAGGAGGCGGGGCCTGTGGGGCTGGGCCTGGAGGAGGTGGTGGTGTGGGGGACAGAGACCTGAGAGACAGGGACCCTGGCCTCTCTAGGGAGTGATTGCAGAGACCACCCCCACAATGCAAGTATATGGGAAATATGCAAACCATTAGTGACTAGTTGTGGGCCCACAGCTCAGGTCCTTTGGTAATACTCTGGTTGGGCCCAGGGGAGGGTCAGGCAGCATGGTCTTGGTGGGCCTGGACCAGGACCTGCAGACTCTCAGGTCACCAGCCCTCGTGGGCACCCTCCCAGGCAATGAGGGGTTCAGGCAACTGGAGGCTCAGAGGAAAGTAAAATCCTGTTCATGTTGCAAACTACCCCACCTGCTCCAGACCAGGGGCAGCCCCCAGCCCTGACCTGGCCATGCCAGGCCCACTCACTCAGCTCTAGGGTGCTGGGCCAAGTCTCTCCTCCTCTCTCCTCCCCTCTTCTTTCACGATGTGCCCTCCCCTCGCCCTTCACCCTATCCTCATCCCCTGCCTCTCGGTCTCTCTGTGCACTGTATCTGGACAGCTCCACTCCTTCCTCCCTCTCTCCCAAGGGTCAATTTACCATGCTCAATGCCCTTGTGCCTTCATCACTTAATTTGTGCCTGGTTCTCCTTTGCCACATTCAGCAGGGCCAGCCAGCCCCGGGGGGCGGGGAGAAGGGGGACCTCCTCCATCAC